GGACCCTCCGATGAGGAATCGGGGGCACCAGCAATCCTGCTTCTGACACCAATGTTAGAGCTCCGTCGGCACTCAACAACCACGCCACACACCAGGGTACCCAACAGGAGATTTTATTAAGGAGGCGAAAGGGCACCTGCACTGAGGAAGGACAGAAGAAGAAGAGGAGGAGGAGGAAGAAGAGGAAGAAGAGAAGAAGAAAGAAAGAGGAAGAAGGGAAGAAGAGAAGAAGAGAGAGAGGAAGAGGAGGAAGAGGAAGAAGAGAGAGGAAGAAGAGGAAGAGGGTGGTCTTATATAGACCTGGGGGTTAGGAGGTTGTACATCAGAGCTGGGGGAAGAGGTCTTAACCTATCAGAGGCTATGTTGCCTTTTAAAATTCGCGCCTTGCAGGAAGCTCAGTTTCGACCTCCTTTAACTGACTTATGACCTTGGGCGGGGCAGCAGGGAATGAAGAAGAACCCGGAAGATCCACGCAAGATGGCGGGAAGATCCACGCAAGATGGCGTGGCATATCTCTAACATTAACAATGGGTTTTCTGGTGTATTTTCCTTGGGTTTAATACACAACCAATTCCCCTCTGTGCACCACACACACACTTATTGGGGATGGAATTCAAATCCCATAAAATTTACCCTTTAAAAGTGTACAATTCAGTGATTTTTAATACATTCAGCTATTCAATCATCACCATTAATCCTTCCAGAACATTTCCATCACCCCCAAAAGAAACCTTGTACCCATCAGCACTCGTTCCCTACTCCAACCCCTTCAACCCCAGACAAGCCCTGATCTACTTTCTCTCAGGACATTGCACATAAATGGGATCACAGTGTGGGGTCTTTTGTGTCTGACTTCTTCAGGAGCCCCTTTGTGGAGAGTAAGAACAACTGAAGCTCCTTCCCCGCCTACCAGGAGGCCACTTTCAGCCTGGTGACCCATTCCCCACAAAAGCCCAAAAGCACAAAGCCTTCTCCAGGATTTGCAAATGGTTGATATGGACAGGGTCTCTTGGAAGGGGAGGCTGCCGCAGCACCTCACACAACAGGATGCCGCCACTGCCCGCAGTGCTGCCACCATTTCAGAAGGTCCCTCTTTTTTTTTCCTTTTCTCAGAAATCTCAACCATCCCCTCAGGCTAGGCCTCCTCTCCTCCCATTCCTCTTCCAAACCCTTCCTTTGCATATCGCCCTTAAGGGGGCAGGGGCCAGTGAAGGGCCTACCCATAACCCTGCACCATATTGCTCAGCTACCCCGGGTGCCCTCCATTCCACTCTCTTGGAGGTTCCAGAAGGAATGGGACCCCATGAACACCTCGATCTCAGCCCAGTGGGATTCCTGTGGGACCACTGGCCTCCAGGACTGTAAAATAAATTGGTGTTGTTTCTGGCAATTTCTTAAAGCATCAACAGGAAGTGAAAGCAGACTCCCAAGATGTGAGAGGGCTATAATGTGAGGGAAGAAAAAAGTCCCTCATCCCCCTACAGGTACAAACCTAAGACAGGCCCGTTTTTTTCTGGAAATCATCACAAACCAGTCGGCCCGCTAGGGTCCCCATGTAGCCTGCCAAATTCTTCCCACTGCCCTAGCAACTACTGGAGAGGCTGAGACGGACAGCAGAGGGCAGCCTTTGAAGCTCCCTGAAGATGACAGTTCAGCGTGGTGACACCATCAACCTACCTGAGCTTCAGACCTCTGAGAGCCAGGAGTGTGCAGCTGTGTGTCACCTCTGTCATCTGAGCCCCAAACAGCTCTTCTTGAGCCAAGCCCAAAGGAGAAAATGCGACAATTCTCTCTAACGATTGCCTAGACTTTTAAATCAAAAATATCTGAGAAATTATTCCAAAAATTTAACACTTTAAAATAAAAGGATAATGTTTTAAAGAAAGGTTGTTATTTAAATCAACCTAAGCTACACATATTCAGATTTTTAAGGGAAGTTGTAATTATGTCTTTAGGGGAAGAAAATACTTTGTTAGAAAATGAATTAATTTTAACTCCAAGGTGTTTAACAGTAGAAATGTTCAAAGCGACAGTCTGTATGCATTTCACTGAGGACATTTAATAAGGAGATTCTTAAACAGGAAAACCTTTTTCCATTTTTTTTTTTCCAGGCCATGCGTAATCACTGACTAACTTTTTCAAGAATTCCAAGCCTACTGCAGGCTCCCCAGGTTAGCCTCTTGATCTGAGAGGTTGGGACATCCCACAGGGGAAGGTGGTGACAGAGAAGGGAGGCTGATGAGGATTAGATGGGTCACTTCAGAGGCAGTCAGCTGATAAAGACAGAAGAGGATAAACTGGACTTGGCCTCTGCCCAGCCCACAGTATGGCAACAAGACTGACAAAACACTAAAAATGCCCCCAGGTAAGATCAAAATCAAAGGGAAGAAACCAAAGATCTTAAGAACAAAAGAGAAAAGGTAAAACAAAATGAAACAATAAAGAAAGAGAAGTCAAGGGCAGAGCTAAGACTCCTGGGTACCATAATTCTCTAGAACAAGCTGCTGTTGTTGTTGTTATGTGCCGTTGAGTCAAACCCGACTCATAGTGACCCCTCCTTGGGTTTC